GTTTTTATCCAATTTAATATTGTTTATATTTCGATAGCTATTGTTTTTACTTAAGATTTTTACCGAGTTTAAATAAATAAAGATAGTGCTAAGAGACGAAATATCGCTAGAATGCATATTACAATAACTCAACCCTGGCTCAACGATAAATCGCTGAAGAGATATTTCACCGAAGCGATAAATCATGATGACATGCCGCACGCTGTACGATGTATGCGTTGTAGCGATAGATCGCCGGAACAATATACCGTTGGAACGATTTATCGTCGGAACAAGATATCGTAGAAAAGCTCCGATATCTCGTCGATTTATCGTTGTGAGATGTCGATAAAATAAACGGTATATCGCCGATATATCGGCGATCTGACGAAAGAGCAAAGCGCGATATTCAACGATGATCGTTTGCATTACTTTTGAACAGTATTGTAAGTTTAATGCAAATATAACACGATTCGTAAATTAACCGATTTTTTATCGGTAAGACATTTTTGATCGCTGTGTTCAAATCTGCTCCACGGTTATTTGAATTTAACCCAGCTTATTGACTTGGGATTGTTTTGAATAAAAGAGTAAAAAGGAATGTTACCTCGGCTAAAGACATTTGTGAAAACTAAGAAAACAACCACCTCCCTAAAAAAGCTTAAGCATTCCAACATTTATTAGTTTTTATTTTTACAGTTTTTAATTTTCCTTTTTTTTCAATTCTTTTCCACGACAACAAACAGAAAAAATCGTAATGAGTGACGCATCAGAAATCCTAAAATCAGTCCACATAGGTTTAGATGTCGCCATATTTCTTCTCAACACTGATCGTGGCTCACAAGCGATCAAGCTATGCGAGGAATGTGCAATTCTAATTCAAAACCTTGATTCTGGTATTCACCTCGATACCTCCGATGCACTATTCAATGCGCACTACGCCATCACGGCTTGTATCAAATGTGCAGAAAGAAATGCCAAGAAGCTTCTTTGCAAGTTCCACCTCGCTGGAAGACTAACCATGCAACTGGGTGACAAATATAAAGCACAGACACGGTTTGTAGAAGCAAAGCAGCTCTTCAAAAGCGTACTTACCATCAGGCAAATGATATGCTGCATGCGTATAGAACTAGTGGCTCACGGTAGACTTGGACATGTATGTTTGAGCCTCGGTGAAATACAGAATGCAAAGAAATACTACCAGAAAGCACTTGCCATCGCGATAGAAATTGGCGACAGAGAAGAAGAAAGTACTACATACAGGAACCTGGGAGTTGCGTTTTTTTCTCTTGGCGAATATCAGACGGCTAAAAAATATGCGGAGAAAGCGCTTGCCATCGCGATAGAAATTGGCGACAGAGAAGGAGAAAAAAGTGCATACAGGGACCTCGGATGTGTGTTTCATTCCCTTGGCAAATATCAGAAGGCGAAAGAATACCTAGAGAAAGCACTTGCCATCGCGATAGAAACCGGTGACAGAGAAGAAGAAGGAGGTGCATACAGGAACCTGGGAGCTGTGTTTTCTTCTCTTGGAGAATATCAGAAGGCTATAGTTTATCAGAAGAAAGCACTTGCCATCGCGATAGAAATTGGCCACAGAGAAGAAGAAGGTGTCGGATACTGTGGAATTGGAATTGATTATGCCCGCCTTAGAAAATCTTGGCAAGCTAAACAATGTTTAGACAAAGCAGTCGGCGTCAGTATAGCAATTGGTAGCAGAGAATTAGAAGCTCGGGCTACTGCTGCTTTGGCAGGTGTTTGTAATGATGTGAATGACTTTCAGAAAGCAAAAGAACATTGTGAGAAGGCGCTTACTATCAGCAGAGAATGTGGCTATAGAGATTTGGAAGCAGCCACTTACATCACCCTTGGAAATACATACCATTTCCTCGGTAAATGTGGCGAGGCAGAAGATTGTTTGGAGAAAGCTTGTATTATAAGCAGCCAAATTGGAAACAAAATGATGGAGTTTGAAAGCCTTCTCAGTATCATACAGTTCAAGTTAACGCATTCAGAGGTTGCGAAGGCAAAGCATTATCTCATTCATTGCATTGAAAAATACGAGCAAATCAGAGCTTTTCTGAAAGGAAACAGTGAATTTAAAATGTCTTTGTTGGAGGTACACGGTACTTCTCCCTACCAGTTGCTCTCTCGCTTGCTTTGCGAGACTGAAAAACTTCAAGATGCTCTCTATGTAGAGGAACTGGGACGAGCAAGAGTCCTCGCAGAATTAATGGCAGACAAGTACTCCGTGCAAAGCCACATCTCAGCTAATCCACACTCATGGGTCGGGATTGAAAACATCGTGAAAAGAGAAAGTAACTCGGATTTTTTGTATGTTTCGTACAGAGAGCGGCAAGTTTTTCTCTGGGTATTGAAAGCAAATGGAGACACTTTCTTTCGAAAATCAGACGAAGTAGAACTAAAAACTCTTGATGCTGAGCAAGTTTGCGATGTGGAAGGAATTTT